GACTGCAGGCAGGTCAGTTTAGCACCCGGACTCTTTTAATATGAAGCAATGCTGTTGTAATACATGCAGAATGTGGTTTTACACTGTCTATGCTCTTTTTATTCCCAGTCATGGTACTGACCTGTTGCCAATCAACCACCAGGTGTTTTATTTAGCATTCCACAACTTTATCAGCCTTTCGTTGCCCCCTGTCCCAACTTTTTTGGAACGTGCTGTTGGCATCAAATTCAAAATGGGCAAATATTTTTCAAAAAACAATAAAATTTCTCACTTTTAACATTTGATTTGTTGTCTTTATAATATTTTCAATGAAATATATGGTTTAAATAATTTGCACATCATTGCATTTTGTTTTTATTTACATTTTGCACTTTTTTTGGGAATGGGGTTGTATTTTGAGTCTGCTTTCAAATGATACGGTTCTATTTACGAGGACATTGTTAATGGCTTGCTAATCGTTCAATAACAGCCCCTATAATAAAGTGTTACCCGTCTCTGTGCTAAGTTCATTTGGGAAAATCAGTCCTGCTTGTTGTGGGAGGAGACGCTCCGAGGAGACACTTAACTGCAGTGGACTCCCCAGTCGTACTGTGCCATAATGACCTCCTGACCAAGAACATCATCTACAACTCCACTGAAGGTAACAGGAGGAATTTAAAGAAGAACAAAGATTATTATTGCGCTCCATGAAGCATCTGAAACAAGATGGTTCTTTAAGTGTTCTTTAGTAAAGAAAATGGGTTTATATGGAACCATGAACACTCTTGGAAGAAGCAGAGTTCTTTGCATCATGAAAGGGTTCTTCAGATTGATGGAGAATGTTGTCTGGGGTCCTATATTGAACCTTTTTAAACAGCGTTCTATATAGAACCATATACAACACATTCTTCAGCAATCTGATGAACGCTTTCATGATGCAAAGAACCCTTTAATCATGCAAAGGATTCTTTGGGTGTTCATGGTTCTTTACAGAACCATTTTCTTACCTAAAGAACCCTTGAAGAGCCATCTTTTTAAGAGTGTAGGTTACTGCATGTGCGTAAAGAAAAAAATCTGAATAAAAATGGTGTGCTGTCACTTTAAGAAGTCCTTAGCAGAACCTACACAGGTGAGGGTGATTTGTTTGGGTCTTCAGAAAAGAAGTGGGCTGAGAGAGTTACTTCATGAGCACTGACGAAGGCAAGAAGCTGAAACGTTTGTTTGGTGTGTATCTGATTTTTGGAGCTGTTTAATGGAATGAATGTCCACCGGTCAGGCATAACATTCTGACCACCTCCTTGTTTCTACGCTCATTGTCCATTTTATCAGCTCCACTTACTATATAGGTGCACTTTGTAGTTCTACAGTTACAGACTGTAGTCCATCTGTTTCTCTGATACTTTGTTAGCCCCCTTTTACCCTGTTCTTCAGTGGTCGGGACCCCCATGGACCCTCACAGAGCAGGCACTATTTGGGTGGTGGATCATTCTCAGCACTGCAGTAACACTGACGTGGTGGAGGTGTGCTAATGTGTGTTGCACTGGTCTGAGTGGATCAGACACAGCAGTGCTGCTGGAGTTTTTAAACACTGTGTCCACTCACTGTCCACTCTGTTAGACACTCCTACCTTGTTGGTCCACCTTGTAGATGTAAAGTCAGAGACGATAGCTCATCTGCTGCTGCACAGTTTGTGTTGGTCATCCTCTAGTCCTTTATCAGTGGTCACAGGACGCTGCCCACAGGACGCTGTTGGCTGGATATTTTTGGTTGGTGGACTATTCTCAGTCCAGCAGTGACACTGAGTTGTTTAAAAACTCCAGCCGCACTGCTGTGTCTGATCCACTCAGACCAGCACAACACACATTAGCACACCACCACCACGTCAGTGTTACTGCAGTACTGTGACAGTTTTTAATAGTTTTTAATAGTTTTTAATAGTGCTGTGACAATTTTAGCTCATTTTGAGCTCAGAAACTCAGTACAGACCAGCAAACACAGCTTTGAACAGCTGTTCTCACAGAAAATCATCATATTTTACATTAAAACACTAAAAAGTGCTGAACTGCAGAAAATATGACGATTCTTAATGTTCCACACAGATTTTCAGACTTTGGGACTCATTTCAAAACAATGGGATCTCACTGCTCACCATGTGGCCTTGAGGGACAGGGATGCAGCCTCACTTCCTGCTCTAAAATGCAGAGGTGTGGCTAAAATAAGGCTCCGCCTACAGACTAAAACTCTGTGTTTTGGTAGTGACAAGAAAACATGGGACAGCAATTTTTGAAAAAAAGTTTTTTTATTTACAAATTAAACTCGAAATCTTTCAACTTCACTTAAAAAAAATTAAAAAAGATCTAAAATGTTGAAAAAAATACAAAAGAGTAAATATTATTAACTAACTATCTGTCCCTCTTATCCCCCCTCCCCCCATCACCCCCTCTTTCCTCCTTCCCCTCTCTTTCCCTGAGCTGAGCGGCTGCCTGTCCTAAGAGGGTCTGACCTGAGATGCGGCCGGCGCTCTGCACAGTGGTGTAAAACTCTATCCGCTTATACTGTTTTGTGTCTGTGCTGTTATCTGGTGTCGACCAGAGGAGGATGGGTTCCCCTTTTGAGTCTGGTTCCTCTCGAGGTTTCTTCCTCCTGTTGAGGGAGTTTTTCCTTGCCACTGTCGCCAAGTCTTGCTCACTGGGGGCGCGGACCCGGATTCTCTGTAAAGCTGCTTTGTGACAACATCTGTTGTAAAAGGTGCTATATAAATAAATTTTAATTTGAATTATTTTCAGAGGTGTAAATTTAGTGGTTATGGTTTGAGACTTTACTGTCTCTATTAGTGCATTGGGTTTAAATGGATCCGAGCATAATCCTTATAAATATCTAAGGTCTGAATATTTAATAGTTATTTTATATTTTTTTCTTAAATCATTTTTACTGTGCGACCACAGTTTGGACTAATTCAGCAGAACAGTCCATTTAAATGTGAGAAATCTTGCGAAAATTCATTGTTAAACCAAAGATGGACCAAATATCTAAAACTAACAGTTTTGATGACTGGCCGAATTACAGTATATAGTTTTACTGTTTAATGTAGTTTTTATTGTTTCTGTGTTTTAACATTATAAAAGCTAATTAAAGATTTAAAGATGTGTTTTTAGGGTTCTAGATGACCTAATTTATACATTAACCCCTTAACCTCTGCAAATTATTATTCAGTTTTTAATCTTCTGAGTTGTTATTATACTCAGGGACTACACGCATTTTCCACATTCAAAAACAAGAACTGACTTAAAGAGCAACCAATAGGTCTATAGAGTTACAGCATTCGGGTCTGGATCAGTGTTTCAATTCTCTTTTTAACTTGCTCTCACCCTCTTTGACTCACCACTCAGAGGTGCATCACACCTGGTGGCCACTCACCACAGAAGGGGAGAGCAGGGGGCAGTGAGGAGCAGATTATTCAAACAGACATGCGCTCGCCCTCGTCTGTGTAGCCTCAGTGAGCATCAGCTAGCCATGCAAACCTTGCAAAGCAAGACATTTTTAAAAGGTTTGAACACAAAGTACATGACGTATGTGAGTAATTGCTTTGTCTGGCTATAAACTTGGAGCAGAGCTGTGCTGCAGTGCCTTTCTTTCCCTTCCTATTATTCTTATGGGGGAAGTCGTGGGCTGGAGGTTAGGGAACCGACTCTGTGACCAGAAGGCCGCCGGTTCGATCCTCTGAGCTGACAGTACGTGACTGAAGTGCCCTTGAGCAAGGCACCTAACCCCCAACTGGATAGGGCTGCCCACCAGTCCAGGCAAGTGTGCTCACTGCCCCCTAGTGTGTTTTCACTAGTGTGTATGTAGTGTTTCACTGCGTGGATGGGTCAAAATGTGGAGGTGGAATTTCCCTGTTGTGGGACTAATAAGGGTCACTAATCTAATCTTAATCTTATTAGCCGTGTAGCCTTTAGCATGCTAACGAGCTAGCTAGCTAGGGGAAGTGATGAATTATCAGCAGTTGTGTAACAGACGGAGCGGTTTGTAACTTAAAGCCCAGCATATCGAACGTTAAGATTTTAAAATGTTTTAAAATTTTGTAAAATGAAATTTTAAAGTAATGTATTGCTGTATCCTATAAACGGCTTCGTCCACCGTTATTTTGGGGTATGGTATTGGGGTCATTTCTGGCTGAATCCAGGTTGTTTAGCTGTTCTTCTGTCACAGCTGCCGACTGAAAAGCTGCTCAGTGGTGATGACAGTTTGGGAATTTAGTGTAAGGAGCTGGAGAACGAACTGCCGGCTGTGCAGCGAGTGGGCGGAGCTCGTTACTCTGACGTAGCAACAAGCTGCTCGTTAAGGAACTATAATTTGGTGAAGGAACTGCGAACATTAAAACATATTAAACGCTGCGTTCACGGCCCAGTTTATTAATTTATTACTTTATTTATTTAACTGTTGTATTAAAGCAATAGAACACTCGAGGAGTGTGTTATCGCCAAAAACATCACGGCTGTGATGATCTACGGCGACCAAATCACAGCCGTGATGTTATTTTGCGATAACACACTCCCTCTCGGGTTCTGTTGCTTAAGTATACAAGTTATATTGACAATAAAGATCACTTGATTTTACCAGTGTTGATAGTTTTTACACCACTGATCTCCCAGATGGCCACTGGTCTTTGTAGTGAGGGTTTTAAGTACTGCATCCCAGTTCTTGTTTGTCTCTGCATGCAGTTGTTGAGGTCAGCTGGGCCTGCTCACTGTTTTTATACCCTCCATAGAGCTGGGAGGGTGTTAACTGATTATACCATTGATAATAATAATAATCACAAAACATTAGAATTATGCTACACAGTCAGATGTGATGTATTAAAGTGTTTTTATTATAAATATCAATAAATTAGTTTTGTTTTGTACAAAAAAAGATAAAAATATATTAAAATAGAATCTTACAGTGAGAAACATTAAATTAGGACAGATTAAATACTGTACATATTAAAAAACATTTAAATAAAGGAGATGCCGGTGACAGTTTCAGCTCCAGAAGGCCGGGCCCACACTCTCATAGTGCACAGCTTTACTGCAGTCCTGCAAAAACACAGAACACCACCGTTAATTTCACACAAAAACATGTTTCAACCGCATAAAAAACAGTTTACACTTCATAAAGCTCACTGTGTTCTGACCATGTATAGAAATCTGTTACTACGTTTCCTGACTTCGGTATAGAACTATTAATGTTTAAATGGTTCTTTGCATGGTGAACTGGGTCTATATAGCACCATAAAGGGCTGCTACAGTATCAAGCTTGTACCCTTTTCAGGACTGTATACAGCACCTTCTCCATCGGTTTACCATGCAAAGTACCAATTAAGCATGAAAGGAAATTCCAAAGAGAACCCGTGGTTCCAAAGTGAGCCATTCCTTTAATGAATAACCCTTGAAGAACCTTTTTAGGAGTGAATGTGAGTTCTCATACTGTCTAAACAGAGATGAGAGTGAAACAAATCGCTGCTGTCGGGAGAAAACCTCGTATCTCCATTTTTGTCGTTTTTCAGTTTTTGACATAATTTGAAAATGCACGTTACCCTTTATATCGTATGTAAATTTCATGATGAATGGACCAAAAGAAACGGCCCAAAATGACTTGGAAAAAATTCTGGTTCCATTGACTTACATTAAAAGTAAAGTATGTTTTTTCCTTCTCCTGTAAAGTTACCATTTTGGAGATACGAGGTTTTGTTTCGAGAACAGCGAAAAGGAAAGTGGAGTGTCTCTCTATAGAGCACTGTCAGAAAATAATTATATAATTATGTTAATAAGCAGCTCTATGGATTTCAGTGTAGATACAGTAATGATACAGTATGATACATTTGTTTTTATTTCTAAAGGAATACAGAGAAAATAGAAGTATTTTTTGCTTTTTTTAATTTGTAATTTATTTCTAATTGTATCATGACTAGTACAGTTGCATGCAAAAGTTAGGGCACCTCAAATTCCTTGTTTTTTAAGTGTAAATAAGTGAACAGAGAACACACTTCTGCACAGTTTAATGCACAGTTACTGTTTATTTGCTGAATTTAACACATTAAACAGGAAAAACAAGCTAAAGTTAGCAGAAAATGCGATGTTTATGTGTGTTCTTTGCAGGGGATGTGGCTTATGTTACCTAAAAAAACAACAATCATATGGAATTTGACAGGGGTGCCAAAACATTTTGCATCACATCTATTGTATGATTGTACTACAGCATCATTTCATTATATCATATTGCATAATTCTATCATACTGTAAGGTTTTTATCATTACTGTATCTTGTATTGTGGCTTTTTTCCACAGATATGATACAGTAAACAATGTTTGTCAGTTGAACAATGGAAATTCATTTTTTCAGCCTATGTGAAATAGTTTGTGTACCCACCTGGTATGAGAAGGGTGTGTCTGGGTACATCTGACACTCCAGCATGGAGTCCAGGACATCTCTGGAGCTGAAGAAGGCCATGTCCATCGCGTCCTGAGCTCCAGCTGCCGTCATGCCGTGATGACTCAGGGGTCTGAAAGCCTCTGTGTGCGCTTCTGCTCCAGGCATCGGCCTCCAGGCTCCAGGAATCGAGCTGTAATGACACATCCCACTGCGAGGGGGTCCCAGGTCGCCCCTCTGGCAGAGCGGCTCCTCTCCAAGGCCCAGCTGGGACGACAGGTAGGAGATGTAGCGGATGGTGAGGCGCAGGGTTTCGATTTTGGTCAGCGTTTGTCCGGCTGGAGCCACGGACGGAGGCAGGAAGCTCCTCAGGTGGTGGAGAGCTTTGGTGAGGTCCCTCATCCTCAGCTTCTCCTTCTCGCTGGCGTTTTGTCTCTGCTTGCTTGGGTTTTTGGAGCGCGTCCTCGTCCTCGGCCCTCCTCCTGGAATATTTGACCGCTTGGGGACGGCTGACCTTTGAGTTTTAAAAGAACTTTGTTAAATTTCAAGATTACAATCCTATAAAAATGATTTTTTTTCTCCAGAAAATCAGTGCAGAAAATGTACATTTACAATTATTGACAAATTCATTACTAATACAAACAGTTATGTTTCTCATTTTTTTTCACCTGCTAAAAAAAACACCAGTTGCTCTTTACATTGTCCGAAAATTTCATCAAGAACGGATCAATAGAAACGATCCGAAATTACTTCTAATTCCATGAATGTACATCTTAGTATAGTACATATATTATATAATCTTAAAAAGGAGGTTCGTCAAGGGTTCTTTGGTAAAGACAGTGGTTCTTTATAGAACCATGAACACTCAAAGAACCATTTGCAGGCTTAAATGATTCTTTGCTTGGTGAAATGGTTCCTCGGATTGATGGAGAATGTGTTGTAAATGGTTCTATCGCACCAAAAAGGGTTCTTCTGTTGGTACAACATCAAGCTTCTGACCATAGCAGAACCCTTTTTGATGCTATATAGAACGTGTTTCAAAAAGGTTTTATTTAGAACCATATAACGCATTCTCCATCATTTCACCAAGCAAATAACCACTTAAGCTTGAAATGGTTCTATTTCAAACTCATGCTTCTAAACAGAACCATTGCCTTTACTGAAGATCCCTTGAAAAACCATCTTTTAGGAGAGTGCAGTACATTGTAGAACATTTTTCTTCTTCACTCTTAAAAAAGATGGTTCTTAAGGGTTTTTAAGTAAAGAAAATGGTTCTAAAGCTTAAGTGGTTCTTTGCTTGATGAAAGTGTTCTTCAGATTAACGGGAAATGTGCTAGATATAGTTCAGTACAGAACCTTTTTGAAAATGGTTCTATATAGAATCAAAAATGGTTCTGTTGTCATGATACATGCTTGTTTACATTAGAAGAACCCTTTTTGGTGCTATATAGAACCTTTTTTGAAAAAGGTTCTGTACAGAACTATATCCAGCATATTTTCCATTAAGAACACTTTCATCAAGCAAAGAACCACTTAAGTGGTGGAAGTGAAATGGTTCTACATAAAACTCATGGTTCTTGAAGAACCATCTTTTGTAAGAGTCTAGTACACTGCAGAACATTGTTTTTCTCCTGTAATGCTGCCATTTCAGAGATTCAAGGTTTGGTTACAACGGTAATAATTATTGAGTAGCAGTTCATTAAGCTAACCTTGCTGTGGCTGGACCGTCCTGAGGCTTGTTGACCGGTGAGAAGTCCAGACAGTTCAGTGGAGACACGGCTTCTGGAGACGAGATGTTATAGATTTCGGAGTCAGAGCTGGGAGAACTCCAGCTTTGCGTGCTGTAGTTGAGCGTAGAGCAGGATAGATCCATTCTTGCTGCTTTCTGAGTCGGAATACTGCTGGAAGCTGCAGGAAGGGAATTTATACGCTGGTCAGGACTCCGAGGTGTGAAGTGACACCTCCGCAGGCCTCTCCAGGCCAGTGGAGAGACAGGCCAGAGAGAGAGACAGACACAGGCAGAGGCAGAGTCCTGATCTGGGAAACAAAAACAGTTCTCTGACTCACTGCAGGACGTGTGAATTTTTACCCCTCTGTCCATCAGAACACTTCTCCACATCTACTGTTTTCTCCATCATGGCTGTCTGGCCAGCCTGCATTACTCACTTCATGTGAGATAAGGACAGTGACCCTTATGCCCTATTACAGCTGGACCGGTATGAATCTGCAGTGTGTGTAGTTTTACAGTCTGACGGTAATAATTGTGGAGTGATTTTGATCCAGTATGAATCTGTATATATGTATAGATATATATTGATTGAGGTCTCTAGATAAATACAAGGGGTCAGTAACTACACAAAGGAGGCATATATATTGACAGGGGTCAGTAGATGAACAAGTGGGCCATATACATTGATGAGTACAGTATGTAAGTAGATGTACAGTAGCTGTACAAATGGGACATATATATTGATGAGGGGTCAGTGTATGAAATAATGGGGCATATATATTGAAATACTATTGGGGCGCATATATTGACAAGAGGGCAATAGATCAACTATTGGGCCATATATATATACATACAAGAGGTCAGTAGATGAACTAATGGAGAGGTCAGTTGATAAATTAATGAGGCACATATATTGATGAGAGGGAAGTAGATATACAATTGAGGCACATATATGGATGAGGGGTCATTAGATATTCTAATAGGACATACATATTGACAAGGGACAGGTAGATATACTATTAGGGCATGTACATGGATGAGAGGTCAGTATATGACCTAATGGGGCATATGTGTTGATGAGATGTCGGTAGATACTCTAATAGGACATATATTGACAAAGGGTTAGTACATATACAAATGAGGCATATATATTGATGAGGGGTCAATAGATATACTAATGGACCATGTATATTGAAAAGAGGTCAGTAGATATACCATTTGGGGCATATACATTGAAAAGAGGTCAGCACATACACAAATGGGGCATATATATTGAAGAGAGGTCAGTATATGAACAAAAGGGGCGTATATATTGATGAGAGGGCAGTAGATACGTTAATGGGACACATATTGACAAGGGGTCAGTACATATACAAATGGGGCATATATATTGAAGAGAGGTCAGTACATACACAAATGGGGTATAATGGTTCATATATATTGACAATAGCATGGTAAATATAGTAATGAGCCATATTTATTGATGAGAGGTCAGTATATGCACTGATAGAGCATATAATCTGATGAAAGGTCATTAGGTTATGGCTCTAAGCTGACCAACACTCAAGTCAGTTTGTATGGGGGGCTAAGCTTTAAGCACTCCCCCCACCCCCCACCCTCAGCAGAGGTCAGATCGGGGCCGAGGCTGCTGACCTGTTTACCGTGTGAGCCAGTAATGGCATTTCACACCAAACATGTAAATGAGATAATGAAGCTTGTTAAGCGTGATTAAGGTCCGTCATGCTGCCCCTCACTTCACTGCGATCCATGAGCTTTGGTATGCATATGAGATCTTCTGTTGTTTGGATTTCATCGACTGGGACACAAATCAACTATTACACTTTTTTCTTTGTAGTAGACGTACTAAGAAGTCATGACGATATAAGAGTGGATATAAAGTCCACAATCACAATCACAATACTTGCATTTTTGCACATTTTACTTCACTTAAACAAGGTTAGCTGCTAGATATTACTGTATCAATCAAATACTGTATTCCATTGCTGTTCTGGTTGCTATCTCAGTGACTGCTATGCTCATAAATAACAGTCAGTTCTGGCCACGCGAGCTGATTGGTTGAGAAGCGTTTTAACTGTGCTGTTATTTCACCATAACATCACAGGTTTTTCCACAAACACTGTAACACTATCACTCCGCTGAGATGCCGTTGCTAAGCAACGACTTTGACAGCTGTAGGAGACGCTCAAGCCATTCGAACGTTTTTACTTCTTACTTTGCCACAAACAGAAAATGGACACTTTTAAGATCACATTTGACCGACAGCCGATTTGGTCAGACTCTGAAGATGAGACGACACTAAATTCCTAAACGGTCAGTTGGTCTGTGTGGAGCTGGAGAACGAACTGCCGGCTGAGCAGCGAGTGGGCGGAGCTCGTTACTCTGACGTAGCGACAAGCTGTTGTTAAGGAACTATAATTTGGTGAAGGAACTGCGAACATTAAAACATATTAAACGCCGCGTTCACGACCCAGTTTATTAATTTATTACTGTATTTATTTAACTGTTGTATTAAAGCAATAGAACACTCGAGGAGTGTGTTATCGCCAATAACATCACGGCTGTGATGATCTACGGTGACCAAATCACAGCTGTGATGTTATTTGATGATAACACACTCCCTCTCGGGTTCTACTGCTTAAATATTCTAGGCTATCTGCTAAGCTGCTAATATGTCGTAGTACGTTCCATCCTCCTTTGTACAGCTCCACATCCTCTCAGTACCGTGTGCTGCCTGTGTTCTGTTCTGTATTTATTTTCTTTCATAAGTCTTTCATATTTATTTATTGCTCTGTATTGTCTGCACTGTGTTTATTGTATTGTTTCGCACTTGTGTTCCTGTGTTGGTCCTGGAGGAATGTTGTTTTGTTTCACTGTGTACTCGTATAGAGCTGACATGACAATAAAGCCTGACTTCAGAGAAAATTCAGAAAAAATACAGAAATAAATAAATAAATCAAGAGAAGTCTGTGTCCCAGAAACCGACACATGAAGATTCTCTCTACATGCCATTGTTATTTTTGAAAACCTTTGAAATTTGTGTGCTATAACTAAAGATCTACTGCTAAAGAAGGTTGTCGCTGTATGAAATAACTCAACAATGCATGAACTCTTTTCAGAAAGCCTTTGTGGTTCAGACTGAGACCGCAGACACACAGTTAAAGCAATGTGTGGGAGTTTAGAGGGAGCTCCAGCTCCAGGCCCTGCTTGGCACCTCAACGTGTCGACTGATGAACCCCTGCGTGCTAAAGAGTGCTAAAGCTGTGAGAACCAGCTCAGGTAGCTGAGGCTATGAGAGCCTCCCTCGCTCAGTGACCCCTGTGTGTGGAGGTCAGAAGGTTTTCTTCTCATTCTGCAACGTCTTCAACCTCAGAACACAAACAGTCTGCTTTCTAAACTCATAAACATAAACATCGTACTGTGATATGATATTCAGTCCGCAGTGGATCAGAGGTCTAAAACAACGACTGGATTCTTGTGATGTTTTTGAGCTACACTGTCAAAAGGACAATAAGAAAACCCAGCTTTTTTGATTTGTTTAAAAGTGGGTTGTCTTTCCCTGAGAGGATGAATCTGATGACTGAAAGAGAACTCAAAGAGAACTCAGTCTAAACTTGGTGAAGGAGCGTCTCTGAGGATGTGAGTGAATTATCTACTACTGTCATCACAGCTTCATCAGTATGATGGTGATTCTGAGATCATTTGAGGCCGAAACATCGAGCCGGACCTTCTTTAGAGTCTGTGTGTGACGTTAATACGCAAAGACGTACGACGTGGTGTGAAAAACTCCCGCCTCTGACGTTTAAATGGTTATTTTAGCCTGTTTTAGTCTCCTCGCTCAGTAATGATCTCAGTTTTAACAAACAATCTCACATAGTGCAGCTTTAACTCAGAAAAATACAGACAGTATTTTTTGTTTTGCTTCACATTCAGTTTATGTGGCAACTGTTTAAATGTAATTGTATACTTACATAATTAATAACAGCGACTTAATGAATTGCATTTACATTTAATTTGCATTCTTTATTCACAGGTTTGAGTTTGCACTTTTGACTCAAAGGTCACACAGACTGAACTTCTTTCAGTAAGAAGTAATTCATATAAACTTACAGCATGTGTTTGTTATGGTCAGCCATAACTGAGACCTCTACTGTTTAGAATACCTTTTCATATCATGATTATGAGATGATCACAAGAGCACTAAACTATAAGAACCCTTAATAGTTGGTTATTTTATGAGGTTCTGTGCACTCGTGGCTCTTGCAGGACCCTTGTTTGACCCTTCAGTCTGACCCTGTATTTACCCCTGAGAGGTGTCAGTATTTAGTCTGTGTTTAGCACCTCAGAGTCTCAGTGTGTGAGACAGCACCGGACTGTCTGACCCCACAACACACACTAACACAAACACACACACACACACACAGCATTAAACCTATAGTACCTTCTCATGTTAAAGGATTAATACAATGAAAATCTAATGTAGAAATTTTTACACTGACTCCAGATGTAGTTGATCAGCCAAGACGTGTTCGGCCAGAGGAAAGAAATGTTCTAAATGAGATCTCCTCTTGATCTCAGGTTCTTCTCCTAGACCTGGTTCAGTCCAGTTACACATATATAGGCCATTTCCTTTGGCCCATTTATCATAAAATTTACAGACAATGTAAAGGACAACAGGCATTTTCAAATTAAGTTAAAAACTGAAAAATGAATGGAGAAATGGAGATACGAGGTTTTGTTATATATATATATATATATATATATATATATATATATATATATATATATAAATAAAACATATATATATATATTAAAGACAATCCAGACAAATATGAAGAAAGCTGACCAATAATCACTTTATAGGCAAAAATTATCAGATGAATTTGCATTCTCACTGAAAGTGAAGGCCAACCAGCCACTTCAAAGTTTTATCAGATGAAACTCTGTTGGTCTGCCAAGCAGTGTGTAAATTTGTGGTGTGTAAATTTTAGATATATTCTGTTTTTGGATCATTAGGAACAAGCCTTAGAGAGCTAAGATGGCTGAACGGTCACAAATCCTTCCTGTAAATTTGAAAGAGCCTCTGCTGGTGATGAAGCCGAACAATAGATAATAGTATCATCTGC